TCCAAAACTCGGGTAAAGGAGAAGAGTTAGATATGGGTTCGGCCACCCCGTCCCGTTGAAAAAATAATCATGCCAGAAAAATGCTAACCAGGATAAACAATTTAAACCATTTAAACTCTGCCCTCCGAATTGAAGGAAGAATTATGACACTTTATGATGAAAGCCAATATTCTTCAGGAGACATTAGGCGGATACCCCTTTTAATAATCGGAGCAACAATTAGTACATATGCATGAAATGTTCGAACAATGTAAGAGACCAGGATGATCAAATAAATAGCTGAGAAAATCACTAAAATATCTATTGGCTTATTTTGTGTAATAATGTTAGTGATTTAGCAAAGTGCTTAGAGTCATTAAAAAATTTATTCATAGCTACGTAAATAAACTGAGCTAAAGATTGTAGTTAAGAATACTAATGTCTTTTGTGGTGAAGAAATTTATTGTTCATTACAGAGATTTATTAGTTCTAAGTTATCAGTCTTCAATGTTCCAATTTAGATGATTGACTGAGACTTGTTAGAAGTCCCAGGATAATTTAAATAATTTAATTGACAATATTTGTAATCGATCTTTGGATAATTGATTTATATTATCACTGCTTTCAATTGACACTTGTCTGAGTTCGAGTTTCGGCGTGAACATCAATTCCTGGATGCAGGTATATCCAGCTAAAGGGTCCCAAACAGGAAGAAACACGCTTCCCGGATATCACCGGCAGTCACCATCATCCCTACCTATAGTGATTATGACTTAATGTCAATATCGAGGCAATCTGTACAGGATGAACATATGTCTATAAGAGAGTGATCAATAGCCGTCGTAAACATCAATATGAAGATTCAAACAACCAATGCAAAAATAAATTAAAACTCTTTTTTTCTCTATAATGCAGTCCAATCAAACTTTCAGTGAACAGAAAGCTTGGAATAGTAAGTCATGCTATGTTGTGTAATCCTTAATGTTTGTCAAATTTTATCAATTAATGTAAATTGTTGCCATTATTCTTAGTGGTTTGATAAATTGGTGAATTTTATGAGAAATTAGATGATTGTAGTTAGTTATCGGGTAACTTTAAACATAAATTTATTGTTTGTCTAGACTAATTAGCTTAATGTGTCTAAATGTGTGCAATAATTAGTACTTATCAAGAGATTTGTGCTCATGTCACTTATCGTTATAGGCAGAAACATTCAACTATATAGTCCCCCCAACTGACGTCCTATAAGATTAAGATAATTGCATAAATTTCCCACTAGCTAAAAGGCGATACAGTGTTGTCTAATCCTTACAAGAGACTACCAGATAACATGAAATCTATGTCGAAAAAATCATTATGTATTACGTTTAGTCAATTAACAAACCTTAATAACGTTGGATCAATATTATCAAATTGGTCCACCAAGGTGCTTGGTACCTGTATGGTTGTGCAACAGGATTAAGCTGTACTGTTCAGATTGTAGCGTTAAAGCCTATACAGTGTCTGGTTCTCCTGTTAGACGGGGTTGAGCTGTACTGTTTGGGTTGTCACGTGAAAGTCTAGATGGTGTCTGGTTCTCCTGAAAACCAATGTATAATTACCCTGGCCCACAAGGGTATATTATATAACTGTGAATATTATTAAATAATCATTCGGTTAGAGTATGTCTATTATTATAATGTAACATACACTAGAAGGTTTAGTTGTTATTTTAAATATATCCATTAAGTTATCAGTTCAACAGATAAGTTAATTGTAAACGAGTTCATTTCAAAATCTTTGTACTACAATAATCAACTTTATCTTTCTTTCTTTCTTCATAGATCTATCTACATATATTTTACAGAACTAAATGTAATGTGTTAAAATTTCTATCGAATCTATACAAATGAACACGTTCTTTATCTCCATAGCAACAGTCATCCATGACATGTTTTAACTAAATCAAGTTTTTTTTTTAATTCTTCTTAAGAAGAAAAAAAACATACATATCTGATTGAAAGCAACAATTAACTAGTTGAGTTATGTTTAAGTATTAATAAATTCTTTATTTATAATAGAATATCTTGTCCATTTATTACGTTACTTTCAGATTAGTAATTCATTCCGGAAATACCTTATCAATGACATTGAATCATTTTAAACAACAACAACAACAACAATGTAATAATAACAAGTTATGAAATGAGGAGTAGTATAATATATTTATTGATTATTAAATTAAAAGAAGGAATTGAGAGAAGTTTCTTATATTCTATGTTTATTTATGCTTATCAACCACTATTGACTATTAAACATTCAATAAGGATATACTGAACTTTCTATTCTAGTGAATTTATTACTTCTGGTCACATTCTCATTTGTTTTTCTTTCTTTTTTGTTTTTTTTTATTTATTAAAAAGATAATAATTTAAACCCCCTTAAAATTAATCTCAATTGATTGAATAATATTTCCGGAGTTGAAATAAGTAGTTTTTTTTAATCATTGTTATAGTTGTGTTTCTTCTGATTATTATTTTTTCTTTTTTGGGTGTGTGTGTTGAGGATAAACTACACACTTTATTCATTTTTGAATTAGATGTCAACTACTTCCGGTTTATAAGAGAAGAATGTTGTATCTCTTTACTACTCTTGTATTTCAATGAATAATGAGGTAGAATTGAATATTGTGGATTTCTTTTAAAAGCTATTTTATAATTGTTATTAATATATAATATGGAAAACAAAAAGGATACACAGTTGAATGGATGATATATCTTAATTCACAGAAGTATATAAACTGAAAATTATGATTTCAGATAGTTCTTCAAGGAATTCACTAATTAGGTGGTCTATTGAAAAGCCAATCGGAAGCTCTATAGAATGAGATGTTTTTTTTCTCTGTCTATCTAGACAATCGATATTTTGAAATCTCTATTTGTGTTCCCCCCTTTAAATCTTTTTTCTTTGTACTAAAAATGATCTTCTGGTTTATTCTCTGGTGTTTTTAAATCTTCTCAAGCAATTTATCATTTTGGATTAATATTTATTTAATAAATTTCAGTCTTTAATTCGTTTACATCTAGTCTGAATTTATATTATGAACTGGATTGGGAGTATATATAGAAGCACGTACGAGAGCATACGGAATAGAGAAGTAGAAATTAAAAAAGACTAAAGGATTCCACAATTACTTAACGTTGGTCGTGATAACTCCCTGTAAAAACTTAATATTTTCGCTTTGTTCAACTTTACGTTTTATGTTCATATGTCTTATAAACAGTCGATAAAAACTTGATGAAGTACCGATTAAGAGAGAATAAAAATAAGGTGAAAAGCAGAACGAACTTTCAATAAAGTTTGATCTTAAACAGAATTTGAAATGTAGCTCAAAATGAAAGATAATATTGTATACATCTGTTATATCAAAGGTAAACTGCAATCAATATTCAGTGAATAAGTTAAACTTCATGTTCAATAGATTAGTAATATTGCTCAGCTATTTTATTCAATTGCATTTTATAAACACTTGAATATCAAGAGTTTTACCAGTACTACTAGTACGATGTATTGTACTTATGTCGGCAGACATAAGTAGTATGTAACACCAATCAGAAGTTAAATGCCTGACATCAGAAGGTTAAGTTGAAGAGAATAGGAATGAAGTCATGATAAGGTTTGTAAGAGACAGCTGATTGAAAATGTTCAAATGAAGTATTTAATGTATGATTTTCATATTTTATGAAATCACCCTGAAAATTGTGCACTAAACAATAAATTGGTCTTCCCCACCCGAGTTTTCGTTAACTATACTTGTAGTCAGATTTTTATTTACTAAAAATTTTTAAGGCTATCAAAATCAGCATATATATATATAGAGTCTTCCTGTGTTGTCTCTTAATGATGAATGAACAAATAGTTTACATGTTGTTTAGTCTTACTAATAAGTAGTAATAACGGAAAAAAAATACAAAACTGATTCACTTGGTATTGTTTTGCTTGAATCTCCCTATTGAGGTTTGAGACTACAATTGATCAGTCTGTTATTGGCACATGTGCATACTATGCGTATTGCCTCGATGTAGCCTTAATTCAGAAGCTTTATAAGCAAATATGAATAGTGGCTAGCAGTGGAATCCAAGAGGAGCATTTCGTCCTGTTTGGGGCTCATCAGCCGGGTGTACCTGCATCTCAAAGTTGATGTTCACTCTAGGACTTTAACCTAGTATCATTCGCTTCAAACGCCATTGCGTTATCCACTCAGCTACTCAGTCCTAATAGCCATCTGCTTGTGCAATGGGGTGAACTTAAATTCACTTGGTATTATTTGGCTTGAATCTTCCTATTGAGGTTTAAGACAGCAATTGATCAGTCGGCTATTGGCACTGAACCTATTCTATGAACTGAATAATAGAATTACTGATAAAAAATCGTTAAAATATCCGTAACGTTAACTAACATACATATTTTCATGATTTCAGTTACTACCAATTAGTTATCAGTCATTATCTTACTAAGTTTTTGATTGAGATCATGAACCGATCGATGTGAGACCACCACCTTTGGAAACCTGGAAGCACTGGACGGCCATTTCGTCCCATTGTGGGACTCCTCAGCAGTGCGCATCCACGATCCCGCACGCGGGATTCGAACCCAGGGCCTTCGGTCTGGCGCGCGAACACTTAACCAACTGGACCACTGGGCCGGCATCCAGTGGTGATAAGTGTCTAACATCAACATTCACGAAATCGAGCGACCAACTTCCGTTGTATTATCATTAATTTTTTCCAATATGTCTAATTACATAATTTATATTCATCTTATTACTGACTCGGAAATCATCTTAATTGGTTTAAAGTTATACATATACAAGTATATTTTAGAAAAAAAGTTTAAGGAAAATTTAATTGGAAACAATCTTGTTTGCTTGAAATCTCTTATTTTGATTGGTTAATCACCTCCTTGTTTTCTATTGGTCAATTAACTGTCAAAATGGAAGTATTTATTCCTATTTTATTCATCCTATCTATTCTAAGAAAGATTTTTAGAATTTCTTTTCATTTAACAAACATATCAATAAAATTGGATATAAGTTGTTTTACTTTTTGTTTTTTTGTTCGCTTGTATATGTGGAGGGGCTAATGGATTATTTCTCTGTCAAATCTGTTCTCAATAATTTATGCAATCTTATTCGTTAATTTATTTGTTTACCTAATTGCAACATAGTGTTAAATGAAATTAGGATGTTCTATGTAAGCAAAGAATAAATCCTGGCCGAATTAAATAATTGTGTAACACTAAATCAATATTCATCATACAGATATCCTATTATTATTACTACTGCTACTAGTACAACTACTACTACCACTACTAATACCACTAATAACGCTGTGAAAAATCATATCAGTAATTATAAATGTTGTAGAATACATCATTCACAATATACAATATCCAAAGAGAAACCTATAAATAATTGCTGGCAATATGCCAATCCTAATCTAAATGAAATCAATGAAGAAAATGAAGATTTCGAATATATGTCGAATAATAAGCATATTAAACATTATCCATATAGACATGACCATAATGATGAGACAAGCGATATGGATACAGAAGGAACACAAGGAGAATTGGAAATGGAGACGAAGGAGAAGGAAATTAAACAACAATATAATCAATCTGATATTAGTTCTGGTGACAGTACTAGTTTAAGTTATTCTGAAGGAAAGAATGTCTTAGATTTAAGACAATCGAATACAGTGCCATATTCACTTCCATTACCAGTTCTTGTACCGATACCTATTATTACTCCTTATATAACTAGAACATATCCAAATGTAACAATGAATTCGTCTAAATATTGTTCAACTATTGGAAATCATTCTAGTGAAGCAGAATCATTGTCTTCCAATCAATTAGTGGTAAGTTTTTCAGTGTATAATTATCTTCCTCTTTTTCTGTTTAAAATTAAACATTGTATTTATATGTTTTGAAATTGTGTTGGCCGACAAAGAAACATGTACCTAGTCTTTTGTGCTATTTAGCACTCATCAACAAACTATATCTGCACTCTTGAGGGAATTGATAATCTCTGTAGGATTTGAGTACTGACAGAGAGATTACCACTGAATTATTTGGGCTGTAGCTCTAGTAAGTTGACTGATCATAAAGCTTCAGTTTCTATATGATTCTTTGTATGGATTACTGACGACTGACAACTAGCAGAAAATTTATTTCCAGGATTTTCTGTTTATTATTTCCTTGCAATAAACATCAAAACATAGTGCACCTGATGTCGACTGACTCAAACTGATTGTTACATTCCAACTTGATCAGTAAAATTCTATCAGGTTGAAATCATGAGTTGATTGAAGCTAGACCACCATGGAAAACCTGGTGCTTCCAGGTTTTCCATGGTGGTCTAGCTTCAATCGACTCATGATTTCAACCTGTGAAATTTCTAAAACTCTCCACAAAACCCATTCTGATAAAATTCTATCAGCATTAAAAAGACTAGAAAAATATGATATTGATCGCTACTCACTGTACATTCGAAACTGTCTAGTATAAATTTTAACCTTACATTACGTTAATCTCGGAACATTTATTGGAATAGTTAAAAAGTGTTATTTTACCTTTTTCTATATGTAAATCAATATATTCATATGTAGTTCAATTTAATATTATAAACTTATTAAATTGCCAATTATGTTCACACAAAGACTTAAGTTGTTATACAGTAAAAAGTTGATGGTTGACAATAGAGTAACTTTTGGCTTTAAATGTTATTTTTTTAAATATTTAAACTATTACCACATGTACAGATATTTCTAGATAGCTAATTCTGTTCCCATTTTGTACTCTAAAACAGTACAATAAAATTCAAGACCTTTAGGTTTCGTAGAGTACATAATAAAATTGATCTATTGAATTAGAATTCACTGATTATTACAATCAATTCATATCTTATGATTATGATCAAATTTCATCAATGAGCATTTGATTCATTCCTTAGTTACTTACTTACTTACTTGCTTACTTGCTTACTTACTTACTTACTTACTTACTTACTTACTTACTTACTGGTTAGCGTTTTTTTTAGTGAGTTAGTTTTCTACGGGATAAGGTCACTAACCCCATGCTCAACCGTCCTCCTTTACCCGGGCTTGGGACCGGCAGTAACTCTAGAAGAGCTACAGGCGGAGTTATTTGGTTCATTCTAGATAATGAACAATTCTGAAAATTGTACAGAGTTTATCCAGGACTTTGGATAAATTCTTTTGAAGTTAGACAGTACATATTGACTAAAAAACAAAGTTTTATCACAGATATTATAAATTTGAAAACTATACTAATCTATTTAAAGTTTTTCGAAATGGTTTTGAATGTAACTTCGATAAATGAAATATCTATTAACATTAAAAAAAAGCATAAACCATATCATAGAATGTTCTCTTTTTTTCCACTTGTATCAACTTAAATTAAAGAGCTATTCAACCGTATATTGTCCTGGAGTTTATATCAAAGAAATATTCTACATTTTAGAAAATGAAATGATTGACTAGAAAGTTATGTTATAATTACAACGTAAATAATAATAATAATAATAGTAATGTTCGTTTTAAAATTTGTTTTGTAATTTCAATAGTTGAAATCATGAGTTAATTAAAATTAGATTACCATAGAAAACTTAAAAGTAATGGACGATCATTTTGTCCTATTGTAGGACTCTTCAATAGCAGTACGCATCCACGATCCCACTTCACGAGATTCAAAATCAGGATCTATCGGTAAACACTTATTTTGTGTTTAAAACGAAGGTAGACATTCTGTCAAAATATCCAACCAAAAAAAGAATGAAATTTTCAGTGATTAGGTTTTATGTTTTAGGCCTATTTTTACTTGTAAATATTTTTATAATCTTATTTTATCAGAAGGGGTTTGTGAAGACTTTGGAAATTTCACGGACTGAAATCATGAGTCAATTGAAGATAGACCACCATGGAAAACCTGGAAGCACTGAACGACCGTTTCGTCCTAGTATGGGACTCCTCAGCAGTGCGCCGTCCAGTGCTTCCGGGTTTTCCATGGTGGTCTAGCTTCAATTGACTCGTGATTTCAATCTGCGAAATCTTATTTTAGGTAGTTTTATATTATAATCTGTTTACACTTATGGTGTATACTATTATTATTATTATTACTAATGGCTTCATTCAATATAATAGTTTGGTACAATATAGAATTCTCAGCACAAGGTATTTCAACATGTGTCTTTTACAACAAAAAACAAAACAAAACGACAAGAACGAAAAAAGAAAGGAAAAAATCGAGAAAAATCAGAAAGTGTGCAACTTTTTTCCAATTAGAGACATGTTTAAGAATACAGGTTATTGACTAAGTTAACTCTAACAACCTGTTCATCACAGAGTATATTTGCTAGATAAGGCATTATAGATGTTTTATACTTTTGCTTGCGTGAATGGATTTTAATGTATTGACGTCTCGTTCTACCAGAAAATATACAAGAAGAAAGATATAAGTGAACGGGATGATTAGTATTTAATAAAATAACACCTATATATGTATCTTTTCATGTATTAATTCAATTATATTACCATTTATTTATTGACTTCCTGATGTACTATATACAAATTGTGTCTGTTAAGCTTTGTATCGTACTTAAATGATGTGAAGGTTGACTATACTACATGGTCAGTTAAAATAAATTCATTTTGAATTTAAGATCTACTATTTCCAAGTTAAATACTTTAAGAATGAAGCCAAAACAAAAAGATTTGATTTGTATATACAATGGTTTAAATTAACTTTGCTTGAGAATTCATTAACCATGTCATTTAGCAGTATAGGGGTTGTGGAGATTGTTAAGTTTTTGATGGAGATCATGAATCAATCGATGTTAGATTAGAATTATTTCTAAATAACAAAAATAGTAATTCGAACGGCTGTCCAGTGCTTCCAGGTTTCCAACGGTGGTCTAACATCGATTGATTCATGATCTCAATCATCTCATTTAGATTAGAATTATTTCTAAATAACAAAAATAGTAATTCGAATATTAAAAATTAAAAGCATGAAGTTCAGTGAAGGAATCTCTTTCCAACGAATTGATTATCAAGCTGTACGATCGTATATATATATATATATATATATATATATATATATATATATATATATATATATATATATATATATATGAAAAGGTTTTGTTAAAGTACTAGTTCCGTGAAGAAATGTGAACACGAATAACCAAGATGACGTAATAGAAAGATTATAATGCTAGATTACGTAATACGAATGATAACAATAGATTTAGTGAATATAATAAGACGATTAAAATGTCCCAGTTTGGTTCTACAAGGGTGAAAGGAAAGCAGTTAGGAGTTCTATACTTGAACACCTAACCGACTGTAATCATTCTACGGATCCATAGTTTGATTCTAAGTTTGTTTATATGATTCGTTCAAATCTACATAGATTTCTTCGTATCCAATGCCTAAAATTAACCGAAGCTCTTACCATCCATGAGGTCAAACTAGAACTATGCAAACAATAGAAGTACGTCCTATCGTTATCGTTACCTTGGCCTTAATTAATATTATTTTTGCATTCTCCTTTACTTATGTCTTATACTCGCATTATTTTTACACCTTTATGACCTTTAATGGCCTTTAATTATTGTAACAAAAACATTTTAATCATCTTGTTATATTCACTAAATCTACTGTTATTATTCGTATTAGGTAATCGAGTATTGTAATCTGTTACGTCATCTTGGTTATTCGTGTTCACATTTCTTCACGAGACGTTTTCATATATATATATATATATATATATATATATATATATATATACGATTGTACAGCTTGATAATCAATTCGTTGAAAAGAGATTCCTTCACTGAGCTTCATGTTTTTTTTTTAATTTTTAATGTTTAAATGGGAATTAACTGTCAATTCGGAGTTCAACCAGGTCATTTGTGAGATAGTAACTCACTGCTGACAACGGTGGATGTGTCGCTCAATTTCATGGGTTAGTTGAAGTAAGACTTTAACACCGTTAGATGCCGGCCCAATGGTCCAGTGGTTAAGCGCTCGCACGCAAGAGTGATAGATCCTGGGTTCAAATCTCGCAGGGCTGGGTCATGGATGCGCACTGCTGAGCCCCACAATAGGACGAAATGGCCTTGCCTATCACACACACTTCACGTATCTTTTATGTTTTCTAAACATCGTTGAAACCATATGCTCAATTATCAATGACACATTGTCAGCTACGTAATCACAGTTTACTCTGATAATACTTCGACAAATATGCAAATTGATTGAAATTAAAATTGCATCACTAGGTGTAGATGTAGAATTTCTATTGGGTTAAAATATCTGTCGCAAGACCTATATTTCACGAGTTTGATTGAAAGTGAGATTATGAATGTGGGTTAATAAGGAGGCCCATAGTAGGACGAAACAGATTTCCAATTACCTTTGGTTCTTAACAGTAGCTTAACTGAGGTCACTCTTTAACAAACATAACGTGCATGATAGTTTATTATTTATAGACGACTTTAAAACTTTGGAAAGAAACATGTTGAGAGTAACTTCTTTTCCTTTTTTTTTATATAACATATGTATTACCAAACTACAAACCTGTCACTGTCACACACACAATGAAATTATCCATGTTTGACTATACATATGTTCCTCATCACTCTCACAAATTAACTCAAATCTATATAATTGTATAATATATGCATATTTGACAAAGAGTTCAATTCCATCGAGTCTCTCTCTCGCTCTTTCTCTCTAAGTTTGTATCAGCCCCTATCAAAGAAAAAAAAATCAGTCAACACTTTCTTAGCATCATATAAAAGTACAAGTGACAAACAAACAAAGTAAGAGAGAGA